GGTCCTTCACCATAATAACAGACTTGGCGCCTTTTCCCCTCCTGGGTGTTCCAAGGCGGGGGATGGAAGCGTGGAGTTAGGAAGGGGGATGTCCTCCTGCTGGGCTGCTGCAGCTCTCCTGGCTGGGGCTGGGACAGTCACAGCTTCAGGTGTCCCTGCGGTGTTCCTGGGCACCGGGAGTTCAAGTATGGAAAGCACTAGAAGCAAGCCCAGCCCAGAGGAATCTGCCACTATCTTACCCGTGGCAGGTGAGGGGCCTCAGGCATCTGAGACCTCACCCGAGGGTAGAGGCAGGTGTCCGACGACAGAGCGTTCCCTCCCAGGAGCGCTGCCTGCCTCCCTCTCTCCGTGCACTTGGCCAGGTGTCTCTGGAGGTGTTTAAGTCTCATGGTTCTTTGTGAGGGGCACAAGGGAGTTTTTCTTTGATTCTTATCGCTTCTGTCTCTGGGGCCACCGCCTCCTCCCTGTGTCTTGTCGCCTGTGCGCCTCCACCTGTTGCATGCGGGACACCTGTGTCTCTTCCCTCCCCGTGTCAGCCTGGCTCTCCCTCCGGGCTCTTCCTCTTTCCCTCTGCCTATCTACCTGAGTCTTTTTCTCTCCAGCCCTCTCTGTATACACCTCTCCCTCCCCGTCTTTCCCTCCCTCTACTCTGCCCGCGTCTCTCCCTTCCTCTTTCTCTCCCTCTGCCCTTGTCAGCCTTGCCTCCACCCAGCCCCAGAGCCCTTCCCTTCCCTCCCCGACCACCACCACCTGCCGCACCCTCGTCCAGGCCGCGGTCGGCCCCGGGCCCAGCCCTCGGCCGCCTTGGCCGGGGGGCCGGCCGGGCAGCGCCGGGGGCGCGCGTCCGGGAAGCGCCCCTCCTGGTCCCGCCCCCGGCCGGGCTCCGCCCCGTCATGACCACTGAGCTGTCCTATAAGTAGGTGTCCCGTAGCCCGGAGCCGCAGCCCGGTTCAGCGCTCAGACTTTGTGCTGATCCCTCGGGGCCAAGCGCGCCGCCATGGACCTCGCTGCCATCTACGAGGTGAGTCCCCCGCCGGACTCCCCAGCTCCGGAAATATCTGCCCGGGGCGCCAGCTTCTCTGGCTAGCTGGGAACTCTTACTGTGCCACAACTCCGCTACCTGGGGAGCCTAGCCGCCTTTTCCGGGGACTTTAATATGGGGAGGGTGAAAATGGAGCCCTCGCCTCCCGCGGCTCTCTCCAGCACCTGGATGTCGGGGAGGGTCCGAGAAGGTGGAAGCTGGGGGGGACTTTGCTCGGACTCGAGCTGGCTGGAGGCGGAAGCGGTTCTACACCTGGCTTCCCCCACGTCCTGGCCTGGGGAAGCTGACTGGGTGCCTCTCACGCCCCGACTCTCCTCCGGCAACTCAAACCCCGAAGATCCGACTCCCCGGCTCAATTTTGCCCCGCTCTCTCCCATTGTGAAACTAGAGAACTCGGTGCGCGCCTCGTCTCCCGGGGAGACCCGGAGGCCGCTCAAAGTTGAGGGGAACAGTGGTGTGCTTTGGCTTCAGGCTCCCTGTTGGGGTGACTCGACGCAGAACCCTCAATCTCTCAATCGTTGGGTTCCGGAAACCCCGGGTTGGCCCGTGGGCGGGTGGGGCTCCGGCACGGAGCCCACAAACCGGACTGGCAAGCTCTCCGAGTGCGGCTGGGGCGCGCGTCACCCTGCATTTTCGGGTGTCCTAACCAGTCGCTGTTCCCACAGAGCCTCCTGTCACTGAACATTGACCCTCCATCCGACCACGGAGGGACAGAGCCTTCGGGACTCTGGGGCCTGAACCCGGCGGACCCCAACCCGGCTGGGGTCTCCTCTCGCCTGCCCGGCCGCTCCACCAGCTTGGTGGAGGGCCGCACTTGCGGCTGGGTGCCCCCGCCGCCTGGCTTTGCACCCCTGGCTCCGCGCCCGGCTGCTGAACTGTCGCCCTCACCCACCTCGCCTACCGCGACCCCCACCACCTCCTCCCGCTACAAGACGGAGCTGTGTCGGACCTTCTCGGAAAGCGGCCGCTGCCGCTACGGGGCCAAGTGCCAGTTCGCCCACGGCCTGAGCGAGCTGCGCCAGGCCAACCGCCACCCCAAGTACAAGACTGAACTGTGCCATAAGTTCTACTTCCAGGGCCGCTGTCCCTACGGCTCCCGCTGCCATTTCATCCACAACCCCAACGAGGACCAGGCGGCCCCCGGCCACCCCCACGTGCTGCGCCAGAGCGTCAGCTTCTCCGGAATGCCTTCGGGACGCAGGACCTCGCCGCCACCCCCGGGCCTGGCCGGCGGCCCTTCTGCGTCTGCCTGGTCGTTCTCCCCTTCCAGCTCACCGCCTCCACCCGGGGACCTCCCTCTTTCCCCCTCTGCCTTCTCGGCTGCCCCTGGGACCCCCGTGACTCGAAGGGACCCCACTGCTACCTGCTGCCCCTCCTGCCGCAGGGCCAATCCCAGCAGCATCTGGGGGCCCTTGGGCGGTCTGGCCCGGAGCCCCTCGGCTCACTCTCTGGGGTCCGACCCCGATGAGTACGCCAGCAGCGGCAGCAGTCTCGGTGGGTCGGACTCCCCTGTCTTTGAGACTGGGGTGCTGGGACCACCCCAGCCACCTGCAGCCCCCAGGAGGCTCCCCATCTTCAATCGCATCTCTGTGTCTGAGTGACAGGTGCCCGATGAAATCAAACGTGTCTTTCCCTCCCCACATTCCAAAATGCATTAATTTCACAAACAACAACCCCCCTTTCCCCTCCGGACCCCACGCTGGGGCAGGTCCCTGGTGTGCCAGCTCAGTGTTTATGGTGTTGGGGGACAGTGTTTCCTGGGGTTCCTTACAGATGTAGCATACAGGGAGGCAGTGAGTCCCTAGCTCCCCGCCATTCTCCCTCACCCCCATTGGAATCCTTGTTCTGGAATCTTGATGTGCTGTGAACAGTCGACCCCCCTCCCGGGTTTTCCTGGCCCCGCCGGGTGGAGTGTCCCCGAGGGAGACTCTTTGGTGCTTAAATTTCCCTCCAGGAGCAAGTAGCCAAAACCGTTGCCAAGCCCCTCCCCTTGGCCAATGGGCCCTTTATTTATGACGACTTTATTTATTCTAATAAGATTTTATAATATTTATATCTATTGAGTCGTCTACTTCCCAATTATTTTTCTTCCCCGTTTTTTTTTTTTTTGTAATGTTGGAAACGATGGTATAATTATTGTTCTAAGTGTCCTATAATAATATATGAAGTAATATATATATTGGTACCTTAAAAGTCTATATTTTTGTGTTTTTTGGAATTTTTAAATAAAAGGAATCTGCGTGTAAAAGAACCCTTTCTCGTGCTGGCGGGATGGGGGCAGCTGAGCCGCCCGGCGGCGCTTACCTGGCAGGAAGTGACGTCACCGGGCCCGGCCGTTCACCTGAGAGGGCGGGGCCAGGTGAGGTCACCTGTCCCCGCCGCCATCCCTGTCGAAACCGGGCGAGCCGGTTCCCGGGGCGGGGACGGGATGTTTTCATCCCCGAGGGGCCGAGGCCGGGCGGCCAGGGGAGAGGACGGAATGTGCCGGGCGCGAGCGGGCCGCGCGGGGGGTCTGCGGGCTCGGCAGCCTCGCGCCTCCGAGGAGACTTCTGGAGACGCTCAAGTCAAATCCAAGAAGCTTCTAGAAGCCAGGGCGGGCGGGGCGAAGCCTGGGGCCGGCCCGGTCCTGGAAGTTGGGCCTGGCGGGATCTTGGGGCATTTCCGGGCCCGGGAAGCTGGCTCGAGGAGGGCCCGGCGGGGCTGGGGCCGCGGCTGGGGCTCGCTGTCCGAGGCCGGGCGGGGTTCCCGACCGGCTGCGGCCTCGGACCATACAAGGGAAGAGGCGCGGGGCGCCGGCCGCTGGCCCGGAAGCCGCCGTGCCCCGAGTCGGCGCCCCGCCCCCGCCGGCCGCCCCGCGCTCCCCCTCCCCGGCGCTTCCCGCTGGCTCGCTCTGACCTTTGGACTTGACTTTCAGGAAGCCGCCTCCTCCATCCCTGCCGGGCGGGGAAGCGCTCCCGGTTCGGAGCCCTCACGGCCGGGGAGGCCGGGGCGCTCGCTGTCCGCAGGCCTGACAGGCCCTTGGACACCCCACCTCCGGCTGCGTCCTCCCCCCGTGTCCTGCGACATCCGCCCACCGCTTGAGCCTAAATAGACACACTCTCTTTAGGCTGTGGCCACTTGCAAAAAAAGATCGGAAAGTTCTAGAATATGGAGGAAAACAGTCCTAGGCACGGTTGGTCCAGGACCCGCACACATGGCTAGCGAGTGTCAAAATTCAGATTGGCAGCACCAAAGAGAGCTCGTGGAGAGGCGACATCGCTCCCTGGTGGCCAGCATGAAAACTGCCTTCCCAGCGGAAAGCTACGGGGTTGTGTGGCCCAAGTCCCGCGGGAGTTCCAAGCCCGAAAACTCGGCAGGCGGGAATGTTGTTTCCTTTTAAGCGATCTAGCAGTTTGGGTTAACCAACATGACGTATAAATTTTTAAAGTTAGCGGAGAAACTAAAAGTGCTCCAGGTGAGGATCGAACTCACAACCTCGGCATTGCTCCGCCTGCACTGTCATATAAGTACCGCGCGCTAACCGATTGCGCCACTGGAGCCCCGATTGGGCTGCTCAGACGGTGACTGCTTCAGTCGTTCCTGACCACGTGACTTGCCGGTCAGCCCCGCCTTCACATTGCGTATGCAAATAGAACCCTCCTGGCTGACCAATAGGAGACAGGACGTGCTCGGTCGCGGATTCTCACGCCTTGAGCCCCCTTGCTGTAAAAGGAAACAGTCGGCGAGGCATTTGGAATGTGGGGGCGGAGCCTTCCGGGGAGGCCTCGCCTCTCGTGAATATTCAGGAGCCTGGAAGGTGGGGCCTTAACCCTTCGCTGGCGGGCCGGCCGGAAGGCGGCCCCTCCCCCCCGCGGGCGGGAACAGGATATGCGCCGGGGCGGCTGGGGGAGGGGAAGCCCCGGGCGACCGCCCCCCGCCCCACAGCTGGGTCCGGACTCTCCAGATGTGGCGCCGCCGCCACCCCGGGAGCCCCCTGTGCCGTGCAGCCGGCAGCCCGAGGCGCCCCGAGGCTCGGACCCCGGCACCGCGTCCGTAGAGACCCCGAGATCCGTGGTCCCCCCCGTCCCGGCGTCTGAGCCCGGGTGTGGGGGCCGTCTCAGGTGACCCTTCCCCACCTGAGGAGCCAGCACACCGGCCGCCCCCGAGGGTTCTGGACCCCGAGCGTCCCGCAGCTCTCTGGGGAGAGGACGGGGACCCCGAGCCACAAGACTCCCTCCTCGAGTCGCCGGCCGGGCGGCCCGAGCCCCTCCGGCGGGAGTCCGGGCCTGCCGCTCGACGGCCGCCGTGTCCATCACTTGCAAAGGGGACTCTGGAAGTTAGAAGCCCGCGCGCTGCCGCCTCCGCGCGCCCCTGGAGTTCGGGGGGACTCGGGGAGCCCCGTGCGGGACCCTCGCGTAGAAGATTCGGGACTCCGGGTATCCCCCCCACACACACCCTTGTCCAGCCCGGCCCGGCCCATCCGCCACTCCGGAGTCGAGGCTGTCCCCGCTCCAACTTAGGACAGCGAGAACTTCTCACCGCCGGACCCCGCGCCGCGCGAGCCCCCGGAGCCTGAGCGCGCCCCCGAGGGCAGGGGCCCGGCCGGGGCTGCCGGGGCCGGGGGAGGTGAGCCGGGAGGCGCGGGCTGGGGGAGGGGCGGCGGGGAACAATGAGGGGGGCGTGCCGGCGGGGGCTCCGCGGGAGCGGGGGGCTCCGGGCGCCCCGGAATCGGCGGTGACGACGCGGGCGGCCGGCCGGGCGGGGGAGGGAGCCGGCGGCTGGACCCTGGCATCCGGTCCCCCAGCCTCCTCCCCTGGGACCCCGCGGCCTCCCGCCCCCGGCTTTTCCCAGCCCTGCCCCTCGCCCTGCGCTCCAGGCCGCCAATCCCTGCCGTTCCCAGGAGCCCGGGGCCTCCGTGCCTCTTTGTCTCCACCTCCCCCCAGGCTGGGTCTAGAAGGTCTCTCTTTCTCTCCGTGCCCCCCCCCCACCTCTTCCTCGGCTGTCACTTCGGCCTGGGCGCCTCTCCCTGGCTTTGCATGACCCACACCCACACCTGAGGGAGTGTTGGGGCCTCAGTGTGGGCCGCAGAGGGGCCGGTGGGATCCCCCATGTCAGAAGACCGGTCGGGGATCTTGGCTGCAGGTCGCTGCTGAACCCGCTCAGCCATGCCCGAGGGAGCCCGGGGACCCAGCCTGGCCAAACGCAGCCTCGGACTTGGGGAGGTGTGTGACTGCCCCGCTGCGTGTGAGACCCGGCCAGGTAAGTGTGGGAGCGTGAGGCAGTGTGGGGGGTGTGGGGGTGACAGACAGCCAGTGTCAGTACGACCTGTGACAGCCCACCCCCACTGGAGCTTGCTGAGCCGCCTTGGTGGGATGAGAGCTTAGGGAGGGATTCTAGGAGGCAGAGAGAGTTAGAGATGAAGAGGAAGGAGGGGGGCAGACAGGAAGGAAAGTCAGCACAGTCAGGGAACAGTATGTGGAAAGGCTCAGAGGTGAGGACCAGCCACTTGCTGACCAGTACAGCTGGGGTGTGGCGAATGGGGGGGATTGCCAGACTGAGTGAAGAGCGGCTTGGCTGGGCCAGGGCAGGGACGGGGCAGTGGGAGGAGGGGAGTTGTGGGAAAGTCACTGGCTCGAGGTGGGGGTGGGAGAGGGCGGTGCCAGGGTGCCGGCAGGGGAGATGCCATGACTGTCTGCTCCATGCCCTGCAGCCTCCACCGCCCCGGCCATGGCCTCCCCAAGAGGGTCCGGAAGCTCCACATCTCTGAGCACGGTGGGCTCCGAAGGGGACCCAGCCCCAGCGCCTGCTCCAGCCTGCCCCGTCTCCAGGCCTGAGCCCCTCCCAGGGCCGCCCATTCGCCTGGATCTGTCGCCCGTGGGCATCGCAGCTTCAGTAAAGCCCTCGAGGCTGGAGCGTGTGGCCCGGGAGATCGTAGAGACGGAGCGGGCCTATGTCCGCGACCTGCGCTGCATTGTGGAGGTGAGGCCGGCTGCCCAGGGTAAGGGCCACAGATCCCCATCCTGCCCTGCTCCCTGCCATAACTGTGGCACCCCCGCAGGACTACCTGGGCCCTCTGCTGGACGGTGGGGTTCTGGGCCTGAGTGTGGAGCAGGTGGGCACGCTGTTTGCCAACATTGAGGACATCTACGAGTTCAGCAGGTCAGGGGCAGGTGGGATGGGCAGAAGGGCCCTGGCTGGGGTGGGTGATAGGAGATGGGGTGGGGGTGGTGTTCATCCAAGCTGCTCCCTACAGGCTGGCACACAGGACAGCAGGGTTTGGGGTGGGAGCATGATGGGGGGGTGCAAGCCCAGGTGGGGTGTGGCCTCAGGTTGGCTTTCAGAACCATGTCCAGCTTGGGTGTGCCACGAATGTTGGAGTCTGTGGGTCTTGAGGTTGGGGCGGAGTGAGCCTGTGTGGCCAGCTTGTCCTCATTTGCCAGGCTCACCACTGAGAGCTCCTTGTCCCAGGCTTGGTCACCCCAGCCAGGACACTGCCAACCCCCAGGAGCAGGCACAGCCCCTCCGAGTGTCCTGGCCAGCTCTCTCAGGGTCATGGAAGGACCCTGGCATCTTCAGGGCTCTTGGGGCTCATGGCATCCCTTTTAACTAGGAGCTGTGGTGCCCCTTGCCTGGTTAAGACATGCCGCTCCCCATTAGAGGACTGTTCTTGGGGACATATCGGTCCCCAGGAAACTCCTCCTGACCCTTCTCTGTCCACAGTGAGCTCCTGGAGGACCTAGAGGGTTGTAGCACTGCAGGGGGCATTGCTCAGTGCTTCGTACAGCGGGTGAGTCAGACAGGAGCTGAAACCTGGGCTAGGCTGCAGAGGAGGAGGCATGGGCAGCCCTGGGCGGGAGTGGTGGGCGACTGGGGTCTTCCTGACACCCCTGTCCGTTGCAGAGCGAGGATTTTGACATCTACACATTGTACTGCATGAACTACCCGAGGTGAGGTACCAGAAGCCCCTGCTCGGCTGTGTCCGAGTTGCTGTGCCACCTGCCCCCCTCCCCTGACCCCAGCCCACCTGGCTCCATGACTTCTTCCAGGAATGCATCGCCCTCACTGCCCCCTGCCCCCTTCCCTGCTCCCTGCGAGGCCCTGACCACTTCTGAACCTTGGCCATGCCCTGAGCCCTCCCAGCCCTGCCCCCAGCCCCGGCTGACCCATGCTGTGCCCCCAGCTCCCTGGCCCTGCTCCGGGAGCTGGCGCTGTCTCCGCCAGCGGCCATGTGGTTGCAGGAGCGCCAGGCCCAGCTCCGCCACTCGCTGCCCCTGCAGAGCTTCCTGCTGAAGCCTGTACAGCGCATCCTCAAGTACCACCTGCTACTGCAGGTCAGCCAGGGCCTGGGCTGGAGCGGGGGTGGGGGCAGAGCGATGTGGCAAGGGTTCCCCACTGACTCCCATCAGGTGGGCACACCATAACCTCCAAGGCTGGAGGAGGCATCTGTCCATCTGTCCTCTGCCTGCCATGCTGGGCACCAGGAGAGGCATCTGCTTACTGTGGGGCCCAGGCCCAGACACCTACTGCTTTCCCCCACCTCTACTCTCCCCCTCCCTGTGTGCTGGACAGGAGCTAGGCAAGCACTGGGCCGAGGGCCCTGGGGCCGGGGGCCGCGAGATGGTGGAGGAAGCTATTGTGTCCATGACAGCGGTGGCCTGGTACATCAATGACATGAAACGCAAGCAGGAGCACGCCGCACGCCTGCAGGTGGTCCTCAGGGCGCCATGAGCAAGGCAGGGGAGGGAGTCGAGGTCAGGTGGCTCAGGGCTGACCCCTACTTCTTGGTGTGTTTGTGGGGTCCCGCTGACCATGCCCTTGTGCCTGGCAGGAAGTGCAGCGGCGGCTGAGCGGTTGGACCGGCCCGGAGCTCAGTGCCTTCGGGGAGCTGGTGCTGGAGGGTGCATTTCGAGGGGGTGGCGGGGGCGGCCCCCGGCTCCGTGGGGGTGAGCGGCTGCTCTTTCTCTTCTCCCGAATGCTGCTCGTGACCAAGCGGCGGGGACCAGAATACACCTACAAGGGCCACATCTTTGTGAGTCTGGGGATGCGGCGGCTATTTATGTACCCAGGGCGGGGCAGGAGGGCCGTAGTTTCTCTCAGGTTCTAGAAGGCAGGCAAAGCCAGGCCAGCCGACTCACCAGATGGTGCTGGGTTCAAGCCTGTGTTGGACTTGCCCACAGGGCAGGTGCCAAGGGAGTGAGCCTGCCAGGCTCTGTGTGGTGTGGGAATGGGGGGTACCTTTCAGAGGGTTGGGATCCAAGGGTACCTCACTGCATCTATGAGCTGGCCACCCCTCTCTGTCCTCTGCCCCAGTGCTGCAACCTGAGTGTGAGTGAGAGTCCTCGAGACCCTCTCGGGTTCAAGGTGTCAGATCTGACCATCCCCAAGCACAGGTACCTGCTCCAGGTGAGCATGTGGGGTGAGGAGGTCTGGGCTGGCAGGGTCCTTCTCCACAGCTGGACTTCATCCCTGCCGCTCCTGGCTTCTCCTCCCCGCCACTTCCAGGCCAAGAACCAGGAAGAGAAGAGGCTGTGGATTCATTGCCTGCAGCGCCTCTTCTCTGAGAACCACCCTGCCTCCATCCCAGCCAAGGTATAGCCCCTGCCACCTGCTGAGCTCCGCCAGGTGCCCACCTCAGGTTGTGGTAGCACCCACCAGCCATCAGCCACACCATCGCGAATGTGCCCTTGGGGACCCCGCCTCCTCAGCCCCGTCCTTCTGTCTTGCAGGCCAAACAGGTTCTCCTGGAGAACAGCCTGCACTGTGAGTTGGGGCCGAGGCGTGGGAGCACGTGGGGTTACTCCCACCAGAAAATAAATTGCTAACCCCCCCATCTCTGCATAGGTGCTCCCAAAAGCAAGCCTATCCCAGAGCCCTTGACGCCCCCACTCAGCTCCCCACGACCCCGTGAGGCCAGGACATTCACCCCTGGCCGGAGGAGCACAGGTAAAGGAGGCCTCTGTGTCCTCACACCCCACCAGTACCCACTTCCCTGAGTGGACTCACCTCAGGGTCCTGACTGCCTCTCCCACAGCTCCATCTCCAGGCCTTTCTGGGAGTCGTCGTGGTCGCAGACAGTCCGGTGAGTGCCAGCAGCTGTGGTGACTGGGGACCAGGAAAGCAGGGGCGTCCCCTGACGTCGCTATCTGTCTCTCCATCCCTAGAGCCGGTGAAGGACTCCTCTGTCGTATTTGTACAGAACGGTCAGTGAAGGGTCCTTGTTTGTCTCCTGGGGAGGATGCTGGGGAGGGGGCTGCATCAGGTACATGGAGTAACTGGTGCCTGTATCCCCGTTTCTCACCCACTCTCTTCCTCATCGCTCCGTGCACAGAGAAGCCTGGAGTCAGGGTAAGGAACACCAGGGCATAGGGGTTGGGTGCCCAGCTCCTGGGGCTGGGGAGAGTTGGGGCACAGCATCCCAGGTGGAGAACGGGTGAGGACTTGGTCTCCTCCCTAAGGGCAGGGGTGCTAGGAGCTCCACCCCACCCCCCGTGGCTTGACCTTGTACACCTGCTGTCCACAGCATGCTGGCAGCGAGGGGGAGCTCTATACACCCACAGAGCCTCAGGTGCCAGGCTCAGCTTCTGGCCCCACTGAGGACCCAGAAGACACGGGACCCCCCACACTGGACCCCTCCGGAACCTCTATCACTGAGGAAATCTTGGAACTGCTGAGCCAGAGAGGCCTCCGCGACCCAGGGGTAAGCCAGGTTTCCCCTGTGAGGGCCCTGGGGGGGGGGGGTCCCCAGTGAGCACACCCACCCTGATCTCTATGTCCCCAACCTGTGTCCACTGCAGCCATCTGCCCACAACATTCCCAATCTCCCCGGAGACTCCCAAGTGGCAGGTAACAACGAACCGCTCCCTTTCCAAGCCCTGCCCAGCCGAGACTCTTCAGAGGAGGAGGAGGAGGAAGAGCTGGAGCTGGAAGACAGGGAGCCCTCCCCACTCCACGTCCTGGAGGGACTGGAGTCTTCCACTGCGCCTGAAATTCCCAGCCTTCCCGGCCTTCTCAGAATCCCCGACATGCCCAGCCTCCCCGAGATGCCCGGCTGTTCTGAAATTCCCCAAGTGCCCTGCCTTCCCTGTCTCTCTGACATTTCCAGTGTTTTTGAATTACCCTGCCTTCCAGCCATGCCTAGGGTCCCTGACATTCCCAGCCCTCCCGCCCTGCCCTGTGACTCCTGGCTCCAGGAGTGTGTGCAGGAGGCGGTGGAGACCCCAGCGCCCAGGAGAGAACTGTTCCCCACCGCAAACCATCCCGAGCCGCTGGGGGAACTGCCCTTGCAAAGCAGGGCCGAACCGGAGGAGCAGGAAGAGAATGACGTGTCTTTCCCAGCCTTCCAGCCTGAGCGTGCCAGCAGCCAGGATCAGCCATTCCCAGAGGAGCTGCAATTCCGCTCTTGTTCTGAAATCCGGAGCGCATGGCAGGCCCTGGAACAGGGGCAGCTGGCCCGGCCAGGCTTCCCAGAGCCACTGCTCATCTTGGAAGATTCAGACCTGGGAGGGGGTGGTGTGAGTGGGAAAGCAGGCGGCCCAGGTTCTGAAAGGGCAGCGTCTCGAGTGCGAGAGTTGGCCCGTCTTTACAGCGAGCGCATCCAGCAGATGCAGCGGGCTGAGACCCGGGCATCGGCCAACGCGCCCCGCCGCCGGCCAAGGGTCCTTGCCCAGCCGCAGCCGGCCCCCCACCTGCCGCAGGAGCAGACTGAGCCAGGTGAGGTTCAAGTGTGTGGGCAGTGGAGGTGGCCACAGCTGGGTGGCTCCATCCTGACTCCGGTCTCTCTTTGCATACAGGGCCCGTGGCTGCGTTTGGACATGTGCTGGTGTGTGAGCTGGCCCTTCCACTGGCCTGCGCCCAGGAGTCTATCCCCCTGGGCCCTGCAGCCCGTGTTCAAGCTGCCACACCTTTGTCTAAGCAAGGTGGCCTCCTGAGTGACCAGGAGGTATCAGACCACAGGGGTGCCCCTGCTCCCACCCTATGGCCTGAGTCAAGAGGCTTCCAGCAGCCACAGGCTCCAGCCACATCACCTTTGACCCAACAGGAAGGCCCCCCAGACATCCCTGTGCCAGCAGCTGCCTCCGCTTTGCCTCACCGAGGCCGCATGGAAGTTGAAGTGCCAGCTGCCACTCATCTGGTTGAGCATAGAAGCCACGTGGATATGCAGGTCCCTGAGCAGGAACTTCCCATGGACACCCAACTTGGAGTCCCCCCAGTGTCACCCACGCAGAGCTGCCATCCTGCTGTCACAGCATCAGCCACCACTCCTTTGCCCAAGCAAGAAGACTGCCTGGACGTCCAAAGCCCCACCGACATGCCAGTGACTACACAGGGCGGTCCCAGGAATGTGGAGGACCCAGTTGTTGTCAGTGGTCTAGCCGTCAGCCCTTCGCTCCTGTGTGGAAGCAGCCCAGAACCCCCTATGCCAGCCAGCACCACACTGCCCCTGGCCTGTGACCTCCTGGACATCCAGGTTCCAGATACCTCACCTTCGCCTGCTCTGGATGCTCCAGTTCCAGCCAGTGCCCCACTCTCCCTGGCCCAAGACCTCCCAGGTCTAAACGTTTCAGCTGCCGCGGCCTCGTCCCACCCACAGGGCCTCACAGACACCCGGGTCCAAGCCCTTCCACTGCTGCCCAGGCAGGGTGGCCTGGATGTGCAGGAGCTGGCAGCAGGACCCCTGCTCACTGATACCCGAGCCCCAAGTCTCCCACCTCCACCAGCACCACATGGCCTCACCAGGGCTGCAGTGGCCACGACTCTGCCTGAGCATGGACCTGCTCTGGACATGGAGGACCTGTCACCTGCTCTGGCTGAGACCACCATGACTGTGTCCAGACCCCAATGCCATGTGGTCTCTCCTGTGGCCAGGTCCATGTCTTCAGACTTGAGTCCACCCCACAGCCCTCCACCCCCAAGTCGCCAGCTCCTGGGCCCCAGTGCAGCTGCCCTCTCCAGGTACCTGGCAGCCTCATACATCAGTCAGAGCCTGGCTCGGCGCCAGGGCCCCGGGGGAGAGGCCCTCGCAGCTCCCCGGGGCCCTTGGCCCTCCTCCGCCCCCACATCCCGGGCGCCTTCGCCACCACCCCAGCCCCAGCCCCCTCCTCCCCCAGCCCGGCGCCTCAGCTACGCCACCACGGTCAGCATCCAGGTAGGGGGTGGGGGGCGGCTAAGGCCAGCCAAGACCCAGGTCCGGTTGAACCACCCGGCTCTCTTGACGGCCACCCAAGAGCCTGTGGGCCTACGCAGGGCCCAGGGAGCTCCTGACACCCGCTTCCACACATAAACTGGGATTTCCACCTTCCCCTAAGGCTGGGACTACAGCCGGATGCCACAGGCCCCCTGGACTTCGTGCCTGCAGATCCCAGCAGCAGGCCTGCAAATCATAGCAGTGAATACCTCTCCCTGGCTTGACCCGACAGGGATAGGTATCACGGAGGTGGATTTCCATTAATATTTTTTGTTAATGAATACCAAAATCGTGTGTTTTCCCATTCTGGAGGTGGAGTGGGGGCTGACAGACACACAGGTTCTGAAAAACCTGACTCCTTTCTGAATAACTGGGTCCACTGTTTGCTGCTTAGCCAGGAAAGCTGAATAGCAGCTCAACCAGCCCACGTGTCCCACTGTAGCTCATTTGTACAGCTCTTCCCCTGGCATGCGGCCAGCTGTCATCCCATCTCTTCCCTGACTAGCTCTGCCCCACCCCATACTTAGCCTTCCGGCCAGCCATCTTTCTGTGCAATCTGTCCCACCAGCTCTTGTCCTTCTGGGCACCGTCTCCCTCTCTCTGTCAACTCCACTACACTTCCCTCCTCACCCTGGCTCTGGGTACTGTGGCCACAGACACTGCTCCTGCAATGGGGCTCTGGCTGGGAGAAGCTACTCCCATCCCTGCCTCCCAGCCTGGTCTGCATGAATGTCCCAATTCTTGGCCCGCCTACATCATAGTCACACCCACCAGCGTGGGACCTGTGCTGCAGAGACAAAAGGCTTTTCTGTGAGGATTCTGCCCCTAACTTCTAGCTGTGGTGTGCCCAGGGAGAAAGGGGACAAAGTAAGACAGCCTTGAGTTTGCTGCCCTCACACATTTGTGTCTCCGTTGGCATTTTCTGAGGCACCTGATGGTTGTTACTTCCTAAGTGTATGACCTTCCATCTCCAGCCAGTCTCACCTGCTACAGTGCCTGGCTCCAGGCTCATCCCCAAATGTGTGAATTTCTGACTGGCCTCATCAACCCCCTAGGATCTGGTCCCAGCCTATTAGCTCCAGAATGTGGATTTTTGGCCAACAGCAAAGAAAGTATAACTTGAGTGTTGTTGCATACCATGAGAGTTACTCACTTGATAGTGAACTCATTCAGCCGTCACAGCATCCCTAAAAGGAAGCAGGGATGCCTTTTAATTCTCAGAGATAAGGGAAACTGAGGCATAGGTCTGAGCCCTCCAGTTGACTGGGTACCTTTTGCATGCCAGGTGCTGCTCTGGCCCAGGGCTTCCAGCCAGCGCTCAACACCTGACCCCGTGTAAGTGCAGGCTGGTGCCTGTTACTCAGTGCTTACTGAACGGCCACTGTGCTCCAGGGCCCGAGTCCTGGGCCCCTCGGAGGCCTGGAGCAGACGCCAACACAGCCTCCCCAAGGTCAGGGCTGAGGCCAGCCTTCCCCTCCTCCACTCCCAGCTGTACATTCCCAGCTGAGGCCAAGTTCCCAGCCTGGCCTGGGCTCCCAGCGGCGCCGGAATTCCCGGTATTTGAGGAGGCAGGGAAGGGAAGAAGGGCTGTCTACTCCAGGGCCTGGAGCATGAAAGGGGAGCCAAGCCCCCTCTCTAGATGTGTCCCAGCTGTTCCTCCAAGAGGGGGTCTTTGGACCTTCTGGGGAGGCCTGGGTGCAGGCTTGGCCACAGACCCATCCTCCTGGTGTTAGAGAATTCCATCCTGTCCACCTATTTGTGCTTCAAGATTCATCCTGCCATCTCTTCAGAAGTCCTTCATCCGCTGGCCTCCTGGGGCCCAGCTCCTGAGAGCCATAGCAAAGTCGGGCTCAAGAACAGGAGTGGTGCCTGAGGCCCTAACTGGGAGGCCTGGGTTACCACCAGCTAGGCCCAGTCCCAAACCAGAATCTGTGTCTTACCACAGGGCAGCTGCCCAGTCTCACAGGGGAACACTTGTGCCACCAAGCTCAGAGTGACCATGAGGAAGCCTCCAGTGCGAAGCCTGGCACCTAGTTAGTGCTCTGTGACTCCCAAAGCTTCACAGGAGAAGAAAAAAAAAATCCTGTGTTGGGAGTTAGACAGCTGTCTTGCCGCAGGCATGCAGCAGGAGAGCTGCCGAGGCTGGGAACTTCAGCCTGGTGGAGGACACCCAATTGCCTGAGCAGAGTCCACATCATCAAGGGCAAGAAGCTGTCGTCAGGATCCTCTGCCAGGCAGAGCCCAGCTCACATGCCAGACCAAGCATCCACACTCCTGTTGCCTTCAGCACTGTCCGTTCCCGAGTTGCTGGCCAGTGGACCTGCTCAGCCTCCCGCAGCCCAGCTTGGTAACTGCATGTGGCTGCAGGGAGCAGGCATATCAGAGTGCAGGACTCCCCGGGGGGGCGGGGGGCTACTGAAGCTGCTAACTTAAGTAGGTGTCACCCCTCCCCCACATAGCAGTGAGGCTTTCTGAAGCGCTCCAGGCTGGTCACCCACTTCCGTTCCAGCTCTATTTAGTGACACATGCTTCGCTGCCTGTGACTTCTGGGCTGTGGTCGCTGCGATGCCCCAGCGCTAACAGGCAGCCCAGCAGGTGTTCAGGGAGAGGGGCAAGACTGAGCAGTCAACTAGACGCTCCGCCATCTCCAGCTCTGCTTCAGCGGGCCAGCTGATGTCACCTCCCCCAGGGAGCTCACCTAATGACTCCAGTCTGCCAGGAACAGGTATCTGTCTGATCCCACAAGCCACACCTCTGCCCCAGGCTGACTCCAGTGCCTCCCTCCTCAAACTGTGGCCTATGGAGTAGCTTCAGGAGCTTCTGGACCTGGGACCACACCACCAGCCTGTGAAAGCCACTTACCCACCACACACTAGCTCTGGCAAGCTACTCCCTTTCCTCACAAAACAGGGCAGGGGGGCCTAGGGAACATCTAGGGTTATTAAATCCACAGTCAGGGCCCAGCACGATAGCGTAGTGGTTAAGGTCCTCGGAGTGCTGGTTCTAATCACGGTGGCTCTGCTTCCCATCCAGCTCCCTGCTTGTGGCCTAGGAAATCTTCCTCTTAGTCTCTTCTATCTGCATGTCTGCCTTTTCAATAAAAATAAATCTTTAAAAAAAAATCCAGTCCTTCCAGTTCTTACGTATTTCAGGGCTGCAAAGCATTCATGGAAGGGAAGACAGCAGCGATGGCAGCTGTTGTGAGGCACACACCTAACTTCCTGTCGTTGCACCTGGGAGGCAGCGACGAACCAAAAGTTACCCACACAGGAAACCAGGCAAGTTCCTGACTTCAGCCTGGCCCAGCCCTGCAGTGGGAACGTTTTGAGGTTTGCGTAAACTCACAGGTGGAGGCATCTTTGAGGAAATGCTTTTTTGTTGTTGTTGCAAACAGAAGTTTTATTTGTGAAGGGACCAGGTGAACACGGAAAGATAGCCAGAGAGCTAGAAGGTGGGGCATTTCTGGAAGATGATGGCGAGACAGCAAAGGAAATAAAACCTTTCAATACCTGCTTGTGAAAGGCCAAGGGACAGGGAAATCTGCCAACTACTGGCCTATCCACAAATGGCTGCCAAGGGCCAGGCGGAAACCAGGAGGCTGGCACTCCCATCTGGATCTCCCACCTAAGTGCAGGGGCCCAGGCATTCAGCACCTTCTGAGGCTTTTCCATGCATCAGTGGGAGTAGCTGGGATGGGAAGCATCCCTCATGGCAGCTTAAGCAGCTGTGAAACAACTGTCAGGCCAGCGTGACGGCTCCTAGCCAAACCTCCACCTGCAAATAGCACTCAGGGACACCACCAGCTCATGGCCAGCTACCTCACTTCGCATCTAGCTCTCTGCCTTGGGATCCTGCACTCATGTGGGAGACCCAGAAGGTTCTGGCTCCTGATCGGCTCAGCTCTGACCACTGTCAGTTTAGGGAGTGAACTGGCTGAGCTTCTCTCCTTTTGTCTGTAAATCTTTCAAAAAAAAAAAAAAAAAAAACAATCCCATCATACATTGCTGCCAGTTTGAGTACAGTCTCTGCCTCTGTGTAGGACGGGACAGTCTTGTGGCAACTGCCAAGTTACTGCCAAACGTGGACTAGGAGACCGGCCTCCTGGATTCAAGGCCCACACTGTCCTTGTACCTGGTGGGTGTGGAGTGTGACTCCCCGGAGAGCCAGGGCAGGGACAGCCCAGTGCGACGGACAGCATGAGTACTCAACCATTTCGGCAAGGGACCCTCTGTCCTGCAGGGTCTCTGGCCACCTGCGGGAATGGGGGTTCCCGGAGAAGTTTCTCCTTGACAGTGACCTTTCCTTCAGTGGGGGGCAGGTAGACCTCAGGGAGCTGCAAGCCTGAGCAGCAGTTGGATTTGGAAAAACACCAAACTTCTCTGCTGGCCCTTACTCCACAGAAGGAACAGCAGTTGGACACGTTCTCAGAATCTTAAAACAATCCCCAGGTTAAGGGTCTGCACGTCACACTGGAAGGCTTGAGTTCAGGGACTGGGATCCCGTGGCTCATGCTGGGGTCCAAGTTCAACATTTACGGCTTCCAAGAGCCTGGGCCATTCGCTCAAGTGCAAAAGCAGCCAGTGAATGGCAGCTTCTCACACACCAGGTAAATGGTCAAGGAGCCTTAACCAGACCTGCTTGCAGGAGGCCAGAGGTACCAATGATCCAGGACACAGCCCCTGGAGGGAAAACAGCAGGACAAGTGCCAAAGGATGATGGGAAATCCAGAAAAGGCTGACCTGCCCTGAAACATGCAACCTGCCAGGTCTCAGATGGAAGGTCCTTAAATCTGTGCAAGCCCTCGTGTCAGCCTTACAAAGATCTACATCATACGCTGCAATCATACAAAAATTTGTCAGGGCCCAGCCCAGAAGCCTAGTGGCTTGTGTTCCCCTTGAACACGCCATGATCTCATATGAACCTCACTTCCTATCCAGTTCCCTGCCTATGGCCTGGGAAAGCAGTTGAAAAAGGCCCAAAGCCTTGGGACCCTGCATCCGTGTGGGGACCTGGAAGAGTTCCTGCCTCGGGGCTTTGGATCAGCACTGGCGATCACTTGGGGAGTGAATCATCAGACAGAAGATCTTCCTCTGTCTCTCCTCCTCTCTGTATATCTGACTTTGCAGTAAAAAATAAATCTTAAAAAGTAAACAAAGTAATAAATCATCCCTGCTTCCTATCCAGCTACCTGCCCCTGGCCTGGGAGGACAGCTCAAGACCTTGGGATCCTGTGCTCATGTGGGAGATCTTGAGGAGGCTCCTGGCTTCAGATCGGCTCAATTCTGTTGTGGCTGTTGTGGCCACTTGAGGAATGATTTAGCAGATGGAAGATCTTCCTCTCTGTATATCTGACTTTCCAATAAAAATTAAATCTTAAAAAAAAAAAAAACTTGCCAAAGGGGACAGTAAGATAACTAATTAATCCTCTGCCTACAATTGCAATCATCCCATAAGGTCACCAAATTTTTCAGATTTATTTTTATTGGAAAGCCAGATATACAGAGGAGGAGAGACAGAGGAAGATCTTCTGTCTGATAGTTCACTCCCCAAGCGGTTGCAACAGCTGGAGCCAAGCCACTCTGAAGCCAGGAGCTTCTTCCAGGTGTAGGGTCCTAAGCAAAGCTATGGCCTGCCCTTTACTGCTTTCCCAGGCCACAGGCAGGGAGCTGGATGGGAAGTGGGGCCACCAGGATTAGAACTGGCTCCCATACAGGATCCCAGTGTGTGCAAAGCAAGGACTATACACACTACACTATGCCACTGGAACTGGTCACCAATTCTCGTTCCAGATGCTCCACTTCCCATCCAGCTCCCTGCTTGTGGCCTGGTGCATTCTTAGTGTCTACCTGGTCTCTCCCTACCCATCTTCAAAGGTCACTGTGTATTTCTCTTTCCACATGTGCCATGCAAACAGCAACAAAGGGATTGAAACAAAAGATCCAGCACTAGTGGGGGACTCATGGCCTCAGAGGGATATAGCTCATTCTCTGGACTGACCTGGAGTGCAGGCCAGATCGCCCCATGCAGCCACATTCGCCAGGTCATCACTCCTGAGCCTCCAGGGCTGCCCTCCCACATTCCGCCCTAAGACCCACCATGACAGAAGACCACAGCACAACTCTCACAATCCCGCAACCTCCATTTATTATAAAGCCAACCCCCGATCCTAGTGCAGGCCTATCGGTAGGATTTCTGGTAGCGAGCGCGGGCGCCAGGGCCTCCAAACTTCTTGGACTCGCAGCGGCGGGGATCAGCAACCAGCAGGGTACGGTCATACTGGATGAGGATGTCTTTGATCTCCTTCTTGGAAGCCTCATCCACATCTAGAGGTGAGAATAGGACAGTCCAGACCCCATGGGGACACCCTGGCCACAGGGCCCACCCACACCAGTGTCCCAACCCATCCCCCGCTAAGGACCCAAACCCGCTCACTCACATTTCTGGTAATAGGCCACCAGCGCTTTGGAGATGGACTGGCGGATGGCTGGGGGGAAGACACACAGCAGATGGCTTGTGAATTTCCTGAAGCCTCTGTGCCCACAGGGTCCCCTCACACCCGTGCCCAGCTCCGACACTCACCATAGATCTGCGCCACGTGACCACCACCCTTCACACGGACACGGATGTCCACGCCGGCAAACCTCTCCTTGCCCAGAAGCAAGACGGGCTCCAGCAGCTGGTGGGGAAACAGCGGAGCCCAGAGGGGTAAGCTTGGCCACTCCAAGCATTCACTCCTCGATCTTGCGAGGCTCAGGAATGCCCTCACCAGCTCCCACGCCACAGTGGAAGGGGGCATCACTGTGGCTGCACGACCCCCCAGTAGAGCCAGAAGAGGTGATAACATGGCCGAAGTTTCCCTCCAGGTGTCCCCACTCAGGACCTGACACCCCCAATGTGTTCTGGAAACACCCTCAAATTCCCTCTCAGGGTGGGAGCCAGGGATGTGGGCCCCCAAGTGCAACAGAGGGCACTGGTGCCAACCGTCCCGGTACCCAGCCACACGCTTCACAATCAGCCACCCAAGAGGTTCCCGAAGCCCTCATCTTTTATTCTCCAAAGCAGCTACACTATTGTGTTGTCTGACACCTCCCCACATTCAAAGTCTGGATACCTGAAATTTAGCACCAACACAACGTTCTACTTGCAAAGCCCAGTGCTCACATCTCCGCCTACTTTCTGCCCCACCCACAATTTATGTTAGATATAAAATTGCTGCTCTCAAAACCAACCTCCCACTTTCCCTCCCCCAGATTTTTCTCTTTTCACTGCTTCTGAAACTCGAGCTCCATCTACGTCGCTGTTCCCACCAGGCCGGGGGCTTTCGACCCTTCCTGACCCCCCAGGCCCCGACCCAGCACCTTGTACTGCAGCGTGCGCGGCTCGATCATCTCCAGCGGCCGCCCGTTCACCTTGATGAGCCCGTTGCCACGTTTACAGTGAGCCACAGCCGTGGCCGTCTTCTGCGGAGAGCAAGCAGAGGAGCGGCGGGAGCCGCGTGAGCGGCCGGACTCATGGCGACCCCGGCCTCGCCTCCCCGCCCGCCCCGCCGGCCTCCCCGCCAACACACGCGTCCTCTAACTCCAGGCTCACCTTGCGTCCGAAGACCTGCACGGACTGGAGTGGCCCCTTGGACGGCATGGCTACAGACTGCGAGCACGCGATGCGGACCGCGAGGCGCCACTACCGGAAAAGGAAAGCTCGCGGCCACTCCAGCCGATTTTCAGGGTCTGCGCAGGCGCCGTAGGAGCCGCGTCGCGACGCGAACGGTGCTTTACGGCTCACGTGGGCAACGAAGGGTTGTGGCCTCTGGACTGGCGGCGGGAAGGTCCCGCCCCGGAAGTTTAGGGGCGTGACCTGCTTGCGTGGGGCGGGGCTTGCTCTGCGTCACGACCCCGGAAGAAACGGCAGTGAGCGGAGCCTGCCTTTGGGATCCGTTGTTCGCAGGGTTTTTCTCCAGTTTTGACTGGCGTTCTGGTCCAAGATTCCACACTCCGAACTTCCCAAAGTCCATGTCCTCTCAGAGTCCTCTCTCCGAATTCTGGCCCCTTCAAAGCCCCGTCTCTCCGAATCCGCCTTTCACTGGGATTGCCTCTCTCTGGCTACTGCTGCCGCTTCTTAGAGACTCTAGAGACCGTCTCCTTAGAGACCCTAACCCCACAAACCCCCCTCATCGGGGTCCCTGCGCTTGAACTTCCATTGCTGTGGAATCCCACGGACCATCTCTTCCAATGTTAACATATGTGCTGCTGAAGTGAGCACCCCAGGTCTTCGATTTACTTTCTCCCCACGTCGCTGTCTGCCCCAGCCCCACCTGAGGAACCCCAGAATTCAGAATTGTCCCTGGTTTCCCCTAGACATCGCCCTTCAGCCTAGCAACTTGTCTCTCTTGGGGTTGTTTTCTCCTAACAGCACAGCTGGGTGTGGGGAAGGACAAGGTTCAAGGGGGCGTGGTGGCTCTCCCTACCCCAGAGGAGGGTGAAGGCTTCGTCCAGATTGGAGGGCAGGCCTGGGGCCAGAGGGAGGATCCTCCGAAAGGGTGAGAGAGGGAAAGAGGGGGTGCTGGGCGGGAGGAGTGGAGGGCCTCTGACACTAACAACCCCAGAGGGGCAGGTACCTGTGGAGAAAGACAAAGAACAAAAAGCCAGAGGAGAAAGGAGAGAGGCGGGGTCAGTCAGGCGTGGACTCAGGACGCTAAGGGCAAGGGAGCTCAGACAGGTGCAGGCAGGCCTAGGGATTCTAGAAAACCTGATGTGAACAGTATGAGACGAAAGTCAAGCTTTCCAGCTGCGCACCTGTTGACCTGGATAAGGCTTTTCCAGCCAGATAGACCTGGGAACGCTTGCACTGTTAGAAGTTCAAACCCTCAGGCCCCAATGGGGGCAGATCTTGCAAAATCTCCGTCCTCCATGGACACCATCTTCCTAGGCAATCATCCAGTATGTGTGGCTTGTGCAGTGCCGACAACGGAGTGGAGGCAGCCTCCCTCCCCCACCTCAAGTCCTTCCACCTGCTCTCTCTCTCTCTCTCTCTCTCTCTCTCTTTTTTTTTTCCAGGATCACAGGTCGGGGACTGCAGAAAGCCTTGGAGTGGGCGAGGTGCCCATGTGGCCTCTCTGGACCATCCTCCTGCTTGGGGGGCTCTTGGGAGGTCTGGGAACCCCCCTCTGCCGAAGAGAACCCTTTTATTTCCTCTTGGCGATCATGAAGATGCTGGTGAGGGAAGGCGGAGCCAGCAGACAGGGCAGCTGAGGGGGTGCGGGGTAGGGAGGGGTATGGGGTAGGGAGGGGTGTGTGTGAGAACCAGTTAGGTTCTCTTTTTTCATTTCTTGCCTTTTCCCAAAAATTGTAGGGAGACCAAAGTGATGGCACCCTGTATACCCCAGGGGATCTCTCGGTGAGTGTGTCACTGGCTCCTCCCTGCCCTGGATGCTCAGAAAGGACCCATTGGGCTTGGGTGTCTGTGGGTGCACACATGCGGACACACCACACACACACACACACACACACACACACACACACGTTCTGGAGCAGAAGAAGGTGGTCCATACACTGGCCCCAACTCCGGTCCTGGACACATTTGTTCCCTGCTGTCTCTAGAACTAGGTGACCGACACCAAATAGCAGGTGATGATGGTGATGTCACAGCGACACTGAAATAGTGCTTGCTGCTGCTGGGTGGCAGGCTCCTTCAAAGACTGTAAGTCAAGTAGATTATCTACCCTTCATCACATTTCTATTATTAGGCCAGAGTTGTGGCCTAGCAGGCTGGACCTCTGCTGCAATACACACATTCCATATGGAAGCTGGTTTTGAGTTCCCACTGCTCCCACTTCCAATCCAACTTCGTACGAATGTTCCTGGGCCCCTGCATGCACGTGGGAGACCCAGAAGATCTGGGTTTCTGACTTCAGCTTGGCCCAAACCTGGCTATTAAAGGCCATTTGGGGACTCAGTGCAGTAGCCTAGAAGCGAAAGTCCTCACCTTGCATGTGCTGGGATCTCATATGGGTGCTGGTTCTAATCCTGACAGTCCCACTTTCCATCTAGCTCCTTGCTTGTGGCCTGGGAAAGCAGGTGAGGATGGCCCAAAGCCTTGGGACCCTGCACCCACATGGGAGACCCAGAGGAGGCTCCTGATCAGCTCAGTTCCAGCTGTTGTGGCCATTTGGGGAGTGAATCATTGAATGGAAGATCTTCCTGTCTCTCCTTCTCTCCGTATATCTGACTTTCCAATAAAAATAAATAAATCTTAAAAAAAAAGGACCATTTGGAGACTGAACTAACAGATGGAGAATTCCTTCTTTTCCTCTCTCTTCTGAATTTGCCTTTCAAATAAACAAAACAGAATTTTTATTTAAAGGTTTTTATTTAAAGATTTGTTTATATTTTTTGAGAAGTCAGATTTACAGATAATGAGAGATAGAGAGAAAGATTTTCTATCTGTGGGCTTAGTGCCCAAGCAGTTGCAACAGTCAGAGCTGAGCTGATTCGAAGCCTGGAGCTTTTTCCAGGTCTCCCACACAGGTGCAGGGTCCCCAGGCTTTGGGCCGTCCTCCACTGCCTTCCCAGGCCACAAGCAGGGAGCTGGATGGGAAGTGAGGCCACCAGGACAAGAACTGGTGCCCATATGGGATCCCAGCGTGTTCAAGGTGAGGATTTTAGCCGCTGGGCTGCTGCGCAGGGCCCAACATACCTTATTCTAACGAAAACCAGTATACTTTGGTTTCTCTTCAGATCGTATAAATCTTTTGCCATTTTACTAATAAAAACCAGCATGTGAGGGCAGACATTGGGCACAGGAGTGAAGAGCTGGCATGGCTCCATCCCATACTAGAATGCACAGTTTCAAACCCTGCTTACCTCCTGCCTCCAGCTTCCTAACTGGAGCCCAAAGCCTTGGGACCTTGCACCCACCCGGAAGACCCAGGAGAAACTGCTGGCTCCTGATTGGCCAGTTCCAGCCATTGTGGCCACTTGGGGAGTGAACCAGAAGATGAAAGATCTTTCTCTGATTCTTCAAAACCCTCATTTTACAGATGAGGAAATTTCAGGCCCAAAATGCTGAAAAAGCTTGTCCTAGGCCACAGGCCAACAATTCTAGCAGGGAGGATTTGGGGTCAGGCCCTCATCCAGAGGTAGCATGTCATTCTGTCCCCATAGGTGTGTCCTGTGGAGAGCCTGGGCTGCTTCCGGCTGGAGCTGGCTGTGATCGGGTTTGAGGAGGGCCCATCTGTGGGAATGGCTGTGTTCCGGCTGCAGCGCCTACTAGATGCCTTGGGGGCCCGGTTGTGGGTGGCCAGCCAGGGCCCCTGCCTACCTTGCGAAGGACACCCCCAGAGACCGGTTCCCCTCTTTCTGGCCAAACTCTTGGAGTTGTTGCAGGGGGCATGTGCTCAACAAACATTCACAGCATAAGCCTCGGAGGATGCAGCCTGCCCCCACCCCAGGTATCTCTGCAGAGAGGGAGGAAATGAGGGCTTGGGGCCCCAACTCTCAAAGCTTCCAGTTTGTTTTCCTTGTAGGTCAGATGGCCGCAGCCAGAGCCCCACAGGCCAAAAGGAAGAGAAGAGGAGAGGAACCAGAGGGTAAGTTCTGCCTCTCACCTCCTGGGGCATGGCGACCTGGAACTCGCCCCCTCCTGCTTCCATTCTCTCACTCTTTTCCAGATCCTCTCCTCTCCCACAGAGGGACAGGCGGCTCCCGGACATCCTCTCAGCCCATCCCCATCCCTCAGGACCAGGGAGAGGCCTGCAGCTCGGGTCCCTGGCTGTAGGTAGTGGCCGTGATCCCCCCTGCGCCCCTCCTCCCCCCGCCGCCCATCACAGAATTACAGACTTTGATCACGGACAGTCTCGGGTGGAAACAGTAATTTCACTTAGGGAAGACTTATAGGAGAAGGCACCGCTATGAACTCTGACAAATGACAAACTCTGACAAATGACACACCACCCCGCGTGTGCCCCCCTTCCCAGTCCCCACTTCCAGACACCCACTAATCTGCTTTCTGTCTGTGTAGACTGGTTTTGCCTACTCTGGACTTTTCCATGAATGGGGTCGTGCTGTATGGATCCTGGCGTCTGGTTTCTTTGGCTTCAGCGGATGTTAGTGAGGGTCATTCATGTGGGCACTGGCCTGCCTCCTGCATGCCTGGCTGCCACACAATGGGATCTGTCTTTCCTGGGACAGACACTGGGGTTTGTTTCCCAGGTCTGCTGTCCCTGGGATGTGCTGCCAGAGCTGAGAGTCGAGAACCACACACATTTTATAGGGTCTGGAAGAACTTTCCATTGGGGTGGGGTGGCAGCAAGTACGTGGGGGGGTGGGGGAGGATTGCCTGTGTCTTTTTTCCCCAGAGTCAGTAATTTTTCGTGCAGTTAAGAGTCATTTCACAGGCAGAATCCTATTTTTAAAATGTGCTATTTAAAGAAACCAAGTTTATGGAAAGGGAAGTCTCTGTAGCGGGTCCAGCCCCTCTCCCGTCTAACTTTAGTCCAACTTTAGTCCGGCTTGGGATGGTTAGGGCTCTAGATTGTTCTTCCCATGGTAAAGCTGCAAGCCAGCCCCTGTTTCCGGCATGCCACGTCCATCCCGTTCACACTCCTTCAGCCTGGAGCTCACGGGGTTTCTATTACCTTTTTGTACATGTGTGGTAAACATTTTAGCAGAGTGTTTTCCTCATATAATCCCGGGTCTTCTCCGGGTCTCCCCCACAGGTTCAGGGTCCCCAGGCTTTGGGCCATC